GAAACCAATTCAGTGGAAATCCCACAAATAAAAAGATGTACCACTTGAAATGTAGAAAACAATAGCCGAATTTAGCAGTAAATTTCTCCCAGATGGGGAGTTTGGATGTGGAATGAAACCAAAACTTCAGAAATAATGGAAATAGAATTTTTCATCATGCATGACATTAGCCATCAATGTGCATACTTCTGAGGTTTTAAAAGCTCCCCCTTTCCCTCATCCATGAATCCCAGATTAAGGGTCTACACGCCACTGAAAATTCTTTCTTCCTGGTTTATTATTTCCCTTAATCTCCATTTTGCTTTCTTCTCTTCTATTTCCAAATGGATATCATGTAGTCACACTTTTAAAAGGAGATGTAATATTATTAATGATAGCTAAAATTTTTTTAAAAATCACTTTACATGGGTCAAGGTCTTTATATATTAATGATTAGAATAACTTCAGCAGAAAAGTATTAATATTGTGCTATTTTTTTAATGAGGAAACTGAGGATCTGACAGGTTATCTTAAGTTCCACAGTTTGTAAAGTCAGGGACAGACTCAATTCCTTGTTTGACTGGTTTTAGTGGTTGTCAAACTCTGCTGTGCCTTAGAATGACCTAGATGTTTAGAAAATCCCTGTGGCTAAGCTGCACCTGCACCAAAGAGACCCAAATCTCTGGGATTGGGGCTTGTATATATATGTGTGTGTGTGTGTGTGTGTGTGTGTATTTAATTACTCAAGTAATCTCAATGCACAACAAAAGAACTACTATAGAGAACTACTATTCAAATGTCTCTGTCATACTGCTTGGCTGTGAGGCAAGGAATGTAGAGAAAAAGCAATAGATTTGCATGTTTTTATTGTACTTAGGTGCTGTTGAATCAACATGCACCCTATAAATAACAGTAGTAAACCCTGTCTTTTCCTGTATCATCTTAATCATCCCTGCTACACTTGAGCCCATTGCCTCTGTCACTGTACCAATCCATTTCATCTACCCTCCACCTGTCCAAGCATGATGTCCCTTTCCAAGGAATAGCTTCTCCTAACAACATGCCCAAAGTATGTGACAGGATGCTTCACCATCCTTGCCACTAAGGAGCACTCTGGTTCCATTTTCTAAAAGACATATCTGTTTGTTCTATTGGCAGTTCATAGGATATTCTCTGCTCTTCTCCAGCGCCACAACTCAAATGCACTGATTCTTCTGTCATTCTCATCCAATGTTCAGCACTCAGATGCATAGCAGGTGATTGGAAAGACCATGGTTTGAATCATGTGCCTTTTAGTCTTCAAACCGACATGACTGTTCTTCAGTACTTTGAAGAGAGCTCTGACAGCAGACTTTCCCTGTGCTATGTGTCTTCTGATCTCCTGAATGCTGGTGCCAAGGGTGTTGATTGTAGATCCAAGTAGGATGAAATTGTTGGCAATTCTAATTGATCCAGGAACTTGCATAGGATCTGTCAATCCCTAAAGGTAACTACAAATAGCAATCTCCCTGAACTCTCATTTTATCATTAGACAAAGAGATGGATATATATGTCCGCATTCCTCTTTTGGTTCTGTTTTGGAACTTAGCTGATGATTGCTCTGATCGCTCCCCAGACCAACCTTGTCTTAATTTTCTCTAGTTAATTCATTGCAATGTGGTTTGCTGGCATTTCTGACAGAAAAGCCCTCCCATTTGTGAATTAGTATTTGACTATCATTCTGACTCCAGCATTGTGGAAAGGGGCTCTTGTGTGGCTCAGTCAGGCTCTCTCCTCCAGCTTGTTATGATATTAATTATGCTCCAAAGACTATATTCAGATGTTTTAATGCTAATGGAATTATGCTCAGCAAAGAGAGTGAAGAATATGGCCATAATTGAGCCAGTACAAATATCAGTAAAGTTGACACTCAACAAGTGATTGATTTCAAGTTGTAACCTAGCATCTGACCCTTTGTACCAAGTACAGTCATGCAGGCTTGTCATCAACTGGGTCCCACACTCCAAAGAATGAGTCTAGGGTGGAAAAGTCAGAGAGTTAGCTCAATGAATTCTTGCCTCTAATGCCTTCTTTCTAGCCACAGGTCAGTAATTCACAAGGTGGTGGTGTTGCTGCTTCTGTGTACCGTCATATTGAAACCGACCCATAGTTGACCCTCCAGCAGGTTTTCAAAGGAAGTAAATTGCATGGGAGGAGGCTGCCATGGAGAAACTGGTGGATTCATAACATGTGCCTTTGAGTGATAAGGAAGAGTGGCTAAATGCAGGCAAAGAGTATGGCTAGACCTGGCACAAATCCTGCCTTTCTCTCTTTTACCAGCTATGTGATTTTTGACAAATCTCTTCATCTCATTAAGCCTCTGTTTCCTCACTAGAAAATGAATGGAATAATGTCATCTTCCCCATGGGAACCTATAAGATTTCAATGAGATGATGCATACAAAACACTACTTTTCTATAGAGCGATAAGTGATGCATAAATGCTGACGTTCTAAGGCCTCTGAAAGTGTTCAACTAGACTTTGATTGGAAGATACAGAATAAGAGACTTGGGCTTCAGACTTCAGGATCTCTTGTGCCACAACAAAATGTAAGTGAGGTGACGTGAAAGGAGTTACAAGCAGATCAAATGGCCACCTACATGTTACTTGGAAAGAGCATACAGACCTAGATGGATTCACAAGAAAGCCTTGTAAACCAGGTGCACATAAGAGCCACAGCTATATCTAACTGACGCTACTAAACTTTCATTCATGCTACTAAACTAGAATAATAGAATGCTCCTGCTGGATAGAATCTTAGAGAGCACCTGAAAGAAAAATCTCCATTTTAAAATCGAGGACCCTGAAGTTGAACTTCCTGAGCTCAAGGTCATTAGTCATCCCATGGTCCACAATCTTCCCTCTATGTGTGACGAACAGATGGGCATTGATAGCACTAACATCCCAGCCAATTGTACTACATCGTCATCGCGCCAAGATGAAGCAGATGTTTAGAAAATGTGGAACGTCAGCACGTGAACACTGGGTATCAGACAATTAAGGGCACCTGGGTTCTAGACTAACCAGCTGTGGAAATTCTGTTTTTCTGTGGAAATTCTGTTTTTCTGTGGCAGGTAAATCACAAACTTTTTTTAATGGGTCTGATAATGTGTATTGGACTATAAGGTCTCTGTTGGAAGTATTCAATTCTGCTGTTGAGTGAGAGCAGACATAGACAATATGCAAGTAGATACAGAAGTCTGTGTGTCAACATTTATTCAGGGATACCTGAATCTCAAAAAATTTTCACATCCAATCTTAGTTTAAAAATGGAGATGTCATTCTTAGCTT